AATATTCGAACGTTACATACTGGATCTGTTAGTAAACTACAATGAAATGCGCAGAGACTTCGAGATATTTGAATAATTAATAAACCAGACATCTTGGAATAAGGTTACCTTTAATAATACAAATACTTGTGATTATGGTTAACATGTAACTAACCCTCGCAATCGATATGTCTCTCGTATAGTCAATAAAATACTGTATGCGCAACATATCCAAAAACTTGACAGTGATAAGACAAAACTAAAGTAGAAGTTTACGCATTATTCCATAATTCCGACTGACATACTTATATATTATAGTAATAGTATTGAAGAAATGTAGATCTCTAATAAAATGCCTGACTTAATATAAATAAAACCGTAATAGTAATGAAAGAATTTGCATTAAGCTTAAAGTTTACTAACTATAACAGGTTTGGTGTGTAACGTTCGAATATTCATGAATATGAAAATGCATTCCGTTGACCTGGGTACTAGTCTTTGAAGTCCAATTGCTAAGTTGATTGAGCTGCTCTATACATTAATCCGTTTGTACACCAGGGGGGGCGGGTAAGTTAAGGAGACCCTACCAGGCCCTTGTAATGATAACCTTAACATCTATCCTTAGTCATCGCCGACATGCATAAACTATAGTTTACGATGTTTTGTTTAAACATATTGAGACAAGAAGAATATAGTATCCACGAACGTAGTTAAGCGATAGCCTGAATCGTTCGTATATTGTGTGACAATTAGATACAACGTTCTATCAAACAAAGAATGTAGGTATTCGGACTAGACGTACGATGAAATACTAACCTAATCAAAATAAGTAACTACAGTAATTTTGCAGTAAATACTTCATACTATACTGCTGAATATGCAGGTTTCAAACATCAATCACAGGGGACAATCTGATTTGATGCTTACAACGTTCATTAAACTTATACTTCCTTCTCTTGCATTCCTTTTTATTTCTTGTCTTCTTCTGTATTGGGGGTCAAGTGGATATTAATATGTAGATTTCTTCATGGATGATGGCCAGAGTTGGGCAATTGAGTGGGATGGTGCAGATGTGTCTGGCTACAAGAGTCACTTCGAACTAGGTGGTATCTATGAACCTATTACTGTCGGGAATGTCTGCAAAGAATGGGTTATCATTGACATTCGATGTCCTGGTCTTCATAATGAACAACCAAAGTATAGTTGTGATGATCATTGGATGAACGTATATTGCCAGGAGAATTGGAAATCTGTTATAATAGAAAATAAGGATGGAAAAACTGAGGTTTAGCTCATGGGAGAATATCAGTAAAAAAGGTTAAATAAGATGTTAAAGGGGAACACATATTAATATACATTGTATTATTTTAATTTCTGATTGTTTCGTCTTTGCATTACAATTATCATTTTTCAGTTCATTTTACACAGATTAAGATGCTACTGACGGGTAGCTACTTGAAATATTAATATACTCATAGAAAATGCCCTACAAATTATATTAATATCAGTTTATTGTCTTTAATCTGTTTCTTGCATAATAAACGTCGAATTTTCGTTTACAGATGTATATTTTTATCATTTCTGTGTATAGTTACAAATGATAAAAATTATATATAGGATTACTCTATATGGAAAATTTTAATTATATTCAACCAAATATGAAAAAGCAATACATTTCTTGGAGATAAGTTGTCATTGTGGTTGCTCAAAAAAGATTCTGAGAGCAAAGTTTGCTGAATTATATGAGGCATTTCAAGCTCTCTCCAGATCTGAACAAGAGATATTTTTAATGATCCAACTAAAAGCAATGAATGGTGGAGAAATAACTGCCAGCTGACATCTTAAAAGAAAGTACGTATTAATAAGAGGACTTTTTTTATTGAGATTGCAATACGCCGCTTTGTCAAAAAACGTATCTCAATATGTTAATGTTGGGACACTCACTTCGAAACCGTCAGAAATCATCCGGCAACAAATGGTATAATACCGCGTGTTCATGGTAATATCAAGCGAGTGCCATGATGGAAAACCAAAATAACCATTGATATAACTGTTGCTACCGCTGTGAAGAATTTTCTCGAAACTATGCGGAAATTCATGGACTACCAAGTCCTGGCAAAAATGTCAATTGCATTGCTCAATTACTTAAACTTTTGCCAGGTCTTGAAAACAATAACACATTTAAATTGTTAAAATCTTATGCATCTGAACCCAATGGGAATTAGCCTAAATCGGTTAAATTTTATTAACGATTATAACTATCCCAAGACGACAAGTTTGCATTTGTGTCGTCATTTGCTGAGGAAGTCAGCTGTGGTGTTAGTTGGAAAAGTCAGCCACTACAAATCGAGGACGATATGATCGCGTTTGCATTGTTATTTTGTCGAGGAAGTCAGCTGAGGTGTTATCTGAAGAAGCGACAGATACTCGGTGGCGATGAGTTTGCAGAATTAGCTTATGACTATAGGACGTCTGGTTGTGGATTTATTCATAATTAATTAAAAATTGAAGGGGTGGTCCGTGACTTTTGAGACGGCACTGTACATACTAATACTATTATTTGAGATTGCAAAAAGAAATTAGTGTACTAATACTAATTGATAATACTAATTTAAGCTTATATAAAATAGGCTGATTATTTAATCTTATTTACAAATAGCTAAAAATGGGTTGTTGAATGGAACATAGCATATTTTGTGTGAGTTTTTAGAGTGAGGCAGACAAATTTATTTTTAACGTTATTTGAATTTAGCTGGTGTAAACGCATTTTATTAATCGCGAATAGAACAATCCGCTTTTCTATGTAGTTTTTATATGTTAAATAGCTTAAAATTTTACATAACATTTTATAAAAGTACACTGATAAAAATGTTCAGCCTGTTTTAATTTATCATTCTATCGGTTTAGATTAACAATAGATTTGTTTGTTTTTAACTTACAAAGCTTGAAAGTCATGTGATATTTGTGCGGTTTATGATGATAGCCACCATACTAGTCCGAAACTAAGAAAAACATGTGCAAATTGCAGATTAACTCAGTATCTTGTCAGCGTCCTATGGTTAGAAAAAACATTATAACCGATTATAAAAAAGTGGCTTCTATTGCGTTTGTATCATTTTTTGATTCACATTACTATGCCGGAGGTATGAAGGTATGTATTAGGCGCTGAAGCGTGGATATATTAATTACTATGATCGCTTCTAAGCAAACAGTAATAGGTACGTTTTCCGGAGCCTATGTATTTTCCTCAGTCAAAGGTTTAGGCAATAAACGTCCCGTAACTGGTCTGGATTTCGCAGTATATCGAAAACTGACCAGTTAGCGCTCGATAGCTTTCCAAAATACATGGAATAAGTCTGTTAACTGATTATTATGGCGCACGCTTTGTACGCAAGTAAATTAGAGGCAAAATCTCCTCGCCCTGAGAGTTGTTTCAGCAGTGTTATTGTCTAGGCCGATTATGTTATATTGTATAATGCGAATAATCAATTAAATTGGTGTTTAATGAAACGAAAATGTTTCCCACTAAATTTCAATCATGTGACAAGTCATTTTAATTTGACTGTGTGTGTAAAAATGGTTGATTTAAGGGTTGCTACACATTACCCATGCAAATCGTATTGTGATATTTGCCATTTATAGTTTAATTAATGTCATTTTATAGTTCAAGTCTAATAGTTGCAAATAATAATTATTATTATAAATAGACATCAAAAAACCATCAACATCACCGGCTGCGAAAATACTCATTTCTTCGCAATTTTATAATTTCAAAGCGTTTTCAAGCTTACTTGCACAAAAACGCCAGCTCGGTTGAGACAAGCAAATTACCGGTATTTTCTAAAAAAATTTCCCTTCTATTTCCTTCAATTCTAGTCTTTTTTCTTTCTCTAACAATTATCAAAATAATAAAACAATAATAAATAATAAAATAATAAAATAATAAAATAATAATAATACTAATATTAATAAAATTATAAAGATGTCTGATAAAAAGTACATCAATAACCATCAGACTTGTAGTAAATAAGGATGCTATGCTTTATCTAGCGATACAGCGTTTGACTGGTGTGAACCTGTTTGTGAATAATTATCGACAGATCTAGCAGCAACACGAGTGGTGCCCGGGGTTGTTGAAGTGTTATTTTTTGATGTGTTTGTTATTTTTTGAAGTGCTATTTGAAGGCACGCCACCTGAAGTAGTACTTAACGAATGTGTGCTTGGAGCAGGAAAAGCATATGCACTAATACGATTACAGGTAGCCGGTGTCACCATATTATACCGAGCCTTTTTAAGAATTGGCACAGCTCTCTCGGCTGCCAAAGTTGTCTGTGGAAACAAATCATGTTCCAAAGAGATGTGTCCGGTTTTACCCTTGTCTTTACTTGTCCATTGAGTAAAGTTGCCAGCAATCCAATTGAGGTCAAATTTAGGGTTGCTATTAGACAGATAGTCTTGAGTGTCACTGTCCCATAAAACCAATTTATAACCCAGTTGTCTAATAATGTCGCGAACACGGTCGTCGCAATCACCATATGGTGGTCGTATAGTGCGAGTCGCAATACCGGTTACTTGCCAGACTGCCAGTTCAGTGTGTTTTATCTCTGCAATGATTTGTTCGTTTGATAAACTTGTAAGACTCGAATGTGACCATGTGTGAACTCCAATTTCATGACCTAATTTCAATGGTATCATTAGCGACAAAGTAATTAATAGACGGAATGCAAGTTGAATAAAAGAATATATTATTACTATTATTTACTGACCACTGTCATATATTTTCTTAAGAACGTCTGGGTATCTATAGACTTGCGAGCCTACTACGTAGAACGTAGCCTATTGTGTGACACAAAACTATTAGTATTAAGGAATCTGTATGGCAATTAACTAATGATGGGAATGATTGTAGGTGGAATGATTGTCCGAGTATTTGATGATATAATGAGGTTAATTACCTTGACATTTTGAGCATTTAAGAAATCTACTAATCTCGACGTATAGTCCCTATCCATGTGACAATAATATGAGTAACAATTCCAAATATAATTTGTTGCAATCTTACTACTTACGAAGGGCCATCATCGAACGTAAGACTCCAATCTATATACGATAGAGATAAAGAATGATGAGTTAATAATAAAGCATCGTTGAACTAAGCGAATGTACACAACACTAGTCTTTACCTTTTTTAGTCGGACAATTGAGGATCTCATCGCGATAACAACCACAGGGAGCTCGACAATAACCTGAAGTTTGTGCACAGCTTGTAAAAGGAGGCAGGATAAGAGCATTCGTTACATTCGTCGCATTAATCAACGAACTCCATCCTGCAACTGCCGGTGCAGGTTTATCGAGCGGTGGCCATGTGCCCGGAAGCTCGGCGTTGACAATATTAAATAGGATAAATAAAGCAATAAAACTTTTCATCATCTTCGGATGATATGATCTGATCTGATATGATATGATATGATACGATATGATCTGATCTGATACCCGTTCTTGAAATTTCAGAATGTCGAGTGAAAAAAATAGGTTATGAGAGGGTTTAAATACACAGGTCCGGGAAATATCTGATCCAATATTAGTTGATTTGTATGTATATTGTACGGAAAAGATTTACCCATTTAACATATTATTTATGTATGGGCGTTCTTTTCATCATACGTATCCAATGCTATCTGTGTGTACGATGTGCGTGAGATCAAAAAAGGATATTCAACATTAATTACATACATTAAAGCTCCAGGCATTTGTCGATTACGAAATAACTACTTTTTAAGGGAAAGTTGTCTTCAACGATAGAAAGGAAATATCATTTATAAGAGGTAGTCTAATTAAAGCATTCGGACAGTGATTTGTTTGGATAATAAATGTTAATGTTAATAACGATAAATTAAACGCCCTAAAAGGCTAGACGGAAATCTTTTTGATTGGAATGGGACATGTCATAATAATAGAACCAGAAAGTCGTATATTTTTGAGGTTTATCTACGCATTCCAAACGCATGTACAATGTCAAGCGCTGATGAAGAATATTATACAATTGACGAAGATATAATAGATGTTAAATTGCATGAGTCAAAACTCGGGGATTTGTTTCCTCAAATTTAGTTTATCCCGACCATATTCATTTTCTTATTAATTTTATTTTATTATGGCCTGAAATAGAATTGATAGTCTAATTTATATCAAAAGTATTTCCGCCTGGTGTGAAGTTAATAGTAAAATCCCATGTAGTAACACCCCGTTCTTGGTAAAAAATTTTCGCAAACTGGCATTAGGCGTCAACGAGCAGGTGGTGGAAAGAGAGAATGGCAATATATTCTTGATCGATCTAAAATTATGAGCAAGATACATAAACTATTTAATTCTCCATGAATTTATCACCGGCTTCAACCCCAACTCGAATCTTGACCGGCATTTAAAAAATCTTTTTCCCCCTCCTCTCGATCGATGATTCATATTAATTTCGGTTGGTGCACCAGTGCTGCAGATCTGCAAAATTTACTCTAACTTTATAGCTAATACACATGTATATGGTGCACCACTGATGCACCAGCCAAAATTAATAAATCATCGGTTGAAACAGGTGCATTTATTTTAATACAAACTCATTGTCACGTGGATAAATAACGTAATCCCTATTTACAGTGGTGTGCAAAAAAAATGAACTTTTTTTTCGAAAAAAGATCGACAGGCGTAACTTGCCCAATTTTGATTA